CGCTCCTCCTGCGGTGCAGACGCGTAGGCCCGGCTGTGAGGTTCGTGAGGGCGTGTGAAGCAGGCGCACAATGACGGTTCGATAAACAGATACCGTATTGTACAGAATATTATTAAAACCCAGAAAGGGGAAGGGAAATGGCCAAGCTGAGAATATTGACTCCCACCCATCGGGGTGTTTGGAATTCACACCCCCAGCTGTGAACTGGATTCAGAAACCGACTTTCAGTACGTACATCATGGTACGTTCGTTCTGAGCTCAAAGATGATGCCAGGTGCACACCCCAAAACGGGGGGCCACGAAGGTGCTGCTCTGGGCCACGCGTCGTGGTTACCCCCGGGACAGCCACTCAGTCGTCCACAGCTTCTCCTGCTAGGGGTTTGGTGATGTGCTGTTGCTCCTCATTACTCCCAGAACCCATCTCGTGAATTCGCCTACTCACTAAAGTTTTTTGGTAACCCCGAAATGAATAGTTGCTGTGCTTTTGCAGCCATTCAAGGACATGCACAGAAGGGCGGTGGAAAATTTGACTCTCCCGATGTGCACATTCCCGGCTGAAGTTGAGCAAGGAGAAGCCAGCTCTCTCCCCTTGGTCCTCTCACCTCAGCTCTCCTTCAGAGACAGCCAAAGGACAGGAGGGGCGGGGCAGGGCAGGGCTCTGGCTCAGGGGACAGTGGGACAGGGTCCGAACCCAACTCTGGCACCTGCTTGTGGAGCAACACCAGGCAAGTCAGTTAGTATTTTTCTCTTGAAAAATAAAGCAAGTAAAATCTGCCAGGATGAGTTAGGATTTAAGATGATAATCTATGTGATCTCTGTTTTTCTACAGAGACGTGTAGGTATATATGTAAACACGCACATTTCCCGTGGGAGCAATGGTTCAGTATTCATTAACTCAGTGTTCATGGTGACTTTACAGAACATAACTACCTCGAATCACAAGAATCGCCTGTATTTTCATTCTGGCCTTCCAAGGGGGGAAAAAATGCAAGCTCTAGAAGTCATTCTATGTGTACATCTCTGTGTACGTTTCTGAAGCAAATGTATTGGCTGGAAAAGTGACATGGTTCAGAATTTTCAGCAAATCTACAATGTGAAAAGACTTCACGAGCTATAGAGACCTAAAGGAATAAGAGTTACTGTTTCTGTCTCTACCTCTCAGGCATGACAGCGGCACCTGTCATTGTTAGTTTCTGTCATCTACACGTGTTTAACCTACATGTTATTTTACTGTTATCTGTTCTTCACAGAGCAAAAGCTACCACAAGTCTGTGTGAATCTGAATTGCACGGAAAACCCAATTACTTAGCAGGTACTTTTTAAAATTCTCTGTCTCATCTTTTCCAAATGGGTAAAATGTGTTTCTTCCATTGGAGCGCTCTCCCTGCCCCACAGAAACCCTGCGGAATATGCCACTTTGGGGGGCATCAGTGGCTGTCCCTCTGGGGCAATGGCCTGTCCCTGTGGGCTCTGGGCTGTGTGTTTCTGAGGAACTGGATGAGTCACGTTGCACTGAGGACGAGACTGCTCTTGGTGCAGGAGCTCTGCGGCTCATGCAGTGTTGCCTTACCCTCCCTGAACCCTAACAGGAAAGAGCGGCGGAGGGAACGGCATCTCAGTATATGGGGCGCAAACGGACACTGGACGCTGGCCCCGGGGTCCAGCCAGGGCCCCGTGCCTGTGCTTCAGGGGTGGCCCCAAACTCGTCCTCGACCCCGAGGGGGCTGCAGGGTAAGTGGTGCCAGCTGCCCCTCGCCAGCCCGGCCCCTTGCTAAGTCACTGTGGAGGCCAAAGTAAAGTCAGGGGCTGTCCAGCAGAAAGAAGAGTTGGATGTGGCCTTGATCTGCTAAACCTCACTCTGATGTGGCGTGCAGAGGCACACGGGACACACCCCAGCAGCTTTCCGCCTGGAAGTCATTGCACCTCCTGGGACTGGCAGGAGTACCCAGAGAGAGTCGGGGGTGGAGGACCCCCCATGGGCCCTGCCTCCATCTGTCACCTGGACCCCGGTCACTGTCTCCATTCCCTCCTCTTGCCCCTCCCCAGCCCCAGGGCCTCTCTGCAGAAACTGCTGGGGACGTCCTCTGCTTTCCAGTTGGGCAGGACCATTTGCACTGAGGACCCCCCCAGCATCAGTAGTGACCAGTGTGGTGATGTTGGATGTGTGGTGCATGCCTCACAGAGACACCTCCCTGCTGGCAGGGTGGGCAGCCCATGCTGCTTCCTGCACCCCCACCCCAGGACCCCTGATCCCTGTCCAGGCACAGGCAGGGAGGATGCTGGTAGGCTGGAAAGTGAGGTGTGGGGGCCTGGCACCTAGCAGCCCGGGCAAATTTAGCCAGTGGCCACCCTATTTAGCACCCTCTCTTAGAGACTGCCACCCAAGGGGGTGGACCCGTCGCCTCCTGCTGCTCTGTCTAAAAGGCCTTCTTTCTGCAGGGACCAGGAAGAAGAGGAGCAGGAGAGGCCCCTGAGCTGCTCCTCTGGAGTGAGGGGCTGGAGGGAGACGCACATGTACAATTGCCGCTTTGAGACACTGGGACCGACAAGGTATCTGAGCTGGACGGCAGAGAAGTGCTGTCAGGATGGCAGTGTCACACGGAAGCTGCAGCCCAGTAAGTGCAACCTGTTCTCCATGTGTGCCACACCCCGGGGCTCCTGCACACCCTACCCAGGTGTCCAGGGCACTTTCAATGCCAGCAGCATCACTGTGTTCAGAAATTCACCCCTGTCCCACCCACCAGGCCAGCCCCCCAGCGTCTACTCCAGCCGGACGAGCAGGCCCACGAGGGATGGTGCTCAGGGCCAGGTGCACCCTCCTGCTTGCCACTTCCCCCAGGGGAGCCTGGAGAACCGGCTGCCTGAACCTGGAGCTCAGTGTTTCACAGCGGGGGTCTATTCCACCGAGGATGCGAAACTGAGAAGCCTGCAGACGCCTCTGGGAGCCCCGTGCAATCCAATGCTGCCACTAGATGTGCCTATCAAAATGGAAAATGACTCTGGGTCCGAGGACACAGCAGATGGCTACAGCAGTAGCCAGGTGTGGCTGGGGGCCAGTGATGTGGCCAGGAAGCATCTGGTTGCTTTCCCTAGCAGGATGCACCTGAAAACAGAGCCAGATTCCAGATGCCAGCTCTACATGCCACAACTTGGGCACAGCGTGCTAGGGGCTCCCCCGCATGGCAGGGCCACTGCTGGGCCTAGCAGGGAGCTGGCCCCATTCTACCCCACACAGTGCACCTGCCTGGAGTGCATGCATGGGCTTCCTGAGCCAGAACCTCCCCACCACCTCTGCACGCAGGGCTGTGGCGAGCACCAGCCTTCCACTCTGGGCTGTGACTGCAGAGCTCCCGGGGCCACCCCCATGGTCAAGCAAGAGCCCCTGGACTCGCCCCCGTGGGCCACCCACAGCCAGAGGGGGGTGCCTGGGATGTTCCGTAAAAGTGCTTTGGGGACTTTGATCCCACCAAAAGCCCCTGAGTGTGCCTTCCTGCTGTAGCGCTGCCACTTCCCTGAAAGCTGGCATCCGTCCATGCTCAGGTCCCACCCTTGGCTGGGCTGCCACTGCACCTGGATGGTGGGTGCATTATCGGAGCCTTCTTTAAGTGCACTCTGTGGAGTTGCACAGTCGCAGTCCTCCATGCTGTGTGTGTGGGACATGCTGCAGTGTTTCCTGAATTTTATAAGATATCATGGAAGTTCTTATTTGCAAATTGGCCTTATGTTTATTCCAGTATCACAGTATTTCTTTTTGAGGAGTTAAAAGTTTTAAGAAAGTGGCTGACAGTGGGATGGATCAGCACTCTGGGTGGTATTCCCTGTTCCAAGGGGCAGCATGCTCCCAGCCAACTTGCCATCAAGTCCACAGTCAGTGAATATGTTCAGTGTTCCAGCTCAGCCCTCGCAAGCCTGCTTCCCAGTTTCCTGCCTGTGCTGTGCAGGCAGGGCCGACGCCTCTGTGGAGTGGACCTCAGACAGTGCACACAGTAAATTAGAAATACAGCGTAACTCACTGAGTGCAAAGTGACTGTGATCCCACTCATGCGAGGAATCTGGAAAGTTCCAGGAAGAAGAGGTTGTCAGTGCTGAGCCCTGCGCTTTATCGCCATATGCAGTAGGTGCTGTGTGGCTCCATGGTGGAGTTTGAGGCCATATCTGGAGTGGAAATTGATAGGATAATGTCCTGTTCCTCCTGAAATCTTTCTGGCATTTTCAGTGGACCTCTGAAGATGGTTCGTGCTGATCTGTCTTTTGGTACATGATGTCACGTAGAGTTCACAGAGCATAGGTTTGGAAGTACAGAGAGATACAAAATGTGGAGAAAGGAAAGGAGTTGGAGTTGTCTGGGAGGCCATCTTACTTGCTGATTTTCTATAGCTTTTAAAAATGAGGATTCCAATCACCATCCCGGGAGGAATTATTAGAGACGAGACAGACATATAGACAGACATTTAAAAAAAAAAAATTGTAAAGGTAATATATTCTGATTGTAAGAAACTTAGATACAAAAGCATAAGCCAGAAAGTGAAGGTCACCACAGTCTACCACCCAACATAACCTAGAGCTGATGGCACAGTTCAGACTTTCAGGTGAGGCTCAGGCCAAAGAACCCTGACGGTTAGAGCAGGGTAGTTCCAGACATAACATAAGGGTATAAAAATCACAACAAGCTGGAGGAAGCTAAAGCTCCGGGGTCCCACTGCAGCTGGGCCCACCTGTGTAGGCCAGACAGACCCTTTCTCGGGGACAAGAGTGTCTGCCCTCCACGGTCACCTCCACCCTCTCAGTGCAGGCATCTTCTCACTGTTATCTGTGACCTTGGGATGTCCATGTTCAGACTTGGATTTATGCTGAAGCCATCTGACAAACACATATTCACGTTGTCAAAACCAGGGTTCAGTGGGCAGGACTTAGGTGTACCTGGCTGCCTGTGCTCCTCAGCTGCTTGGCTCTCAGAGAATTCTCCCTTGTGGGGCAGGGATGGGGCTGGAGGTCTCCCAGAACTGAAAGAGAAGACTACCACCCAAGCCAAGGGGTGAGAGTGGTCAGATGTGGCCTCCTGTGATTCTGGGGTCTTCCATGGCCTCTCCATCTCTACTTGGCCCATGAGGGCTTTGAAAGGTGACCTGGGTACTGTGCTCCCACGGGTGAGAGACAGGCTCACAGCCCCCACTTCTACTGCCAGTCTATCCCTCACCTGGTGCCTAAAGTTATGATGGCTGTGAGGACCAGCTGCCGATGAGGACCAACCACCCGAGGACCAGCCAGTTGTGTAGACCAGCCACCTGTGAGGACCAGCCACTGATGAGGACCAGACACCCAAGGACTAATCACCTGAGGACCAGCTACTTGTGAGGACCAGCCACCCAATGACCAGCCACCTGAGGACCAGCCACCCATGAGGACCAGCCACCCAGGAGGACCAGCCACCCAGTGAGGAACAGCCACCCAAGGACCAGCCACCTGAAGACCAGCCACCCATGAGGACCAGCCACCCAGTGAGGAACAGCCACCCAAGGACCAGCCACCTGAAGACCAGCCACCTGAGGACCAGCCACCCATGAGGACCAGCCACCCAGTGAGGAACAGCCACCCAAGGACCAGCCACCTGAAGACCAGCCACCTGAGGACCAGCCACCCATGAGGACCAGCCACCCAGTGAGGAACAGCCACCCAAGGACCAGCCACCTGAAGACCAGCCACCCATGAGGACCAGCCACCCAATGAGGACCAGCCACCCGAGGACCAGCCACTTGTGAGGACCAGCCACCCAAGGACCAGCTACCTGAAGACCAGCCACCCACTTCCCACTG